ATATGTCTGATTGTATCAGCGCGCAATTATGGGGGGACTACATATGTAGTATATATAAAAATTTACACATATTTATAATAAGCACTTTGATCTAGCTATGACCGTTATAGGCGATAATTCTTTCCTTGTTTGTTTGACAATTTACGGTCGGTACAAGAATTATTTTTTAAAAATTGAACTTCTCCCACAATTTTGAATATTTTTTATTGAAATTTTTTGTACATGAATTTTTCATGATTTCAAACACTCTCTCGTATGGATTTTAAAAAATCTCGTTTAGTTCAAGAAATAAAAATTCCACATGCCCAAAAAATATTTTTTCTTTCTTTTTGATTACGTGGCATAATTTTAGTTAGAAAATGATGCCAGAAAAAAAATTGTTAGGTTTGTACCATTTGAAAATCAGTGGGTTAAATTTTCGGTGGTAAAACCTCCCCTTAAATATCGACAAAATTTGTAGGTTTTAAAGTGATCTCCTAATTGTTGTGCGTAGTGTATGTTGACCGAGCATAGACAAGGAAATCATGATGTCAGGATATAAAGTGTGACAGCATGATTCGCACGTACTCTCCCTCTCCATACTAACCTACATGCGCTGCTGCCATAGGTCCATGATCAGCGCATGTAAGTTAGTTAGGTTAGTATGGAGAGGGAAAGTACGTGCGAATCATGCTGTCTCACTTTATATCCTGGCATCCTGGTTTCCTTGTCTATGCTCAGTCCATATATTATAGGTCCATGGTTCTACGATACAGTTCTCCTTTGGCCACCTAGCGGACAAAATGTAAAGTACATCAACACAAACATGCAAGTAGCGTTGAACAGATTATGAGACACAATCCAACAATATAACTATTTCACTCATCAAAGCAGTATAGTTTCATTTTAGCAATCATTATATTTATTTGTTAATAACAATTTGTTAACTTCAAAATTAAGTAAATACTTGCATTTAACCCTTTGAAGCATACATTTTTCTTTACACGGAAAACGCCTGAAATTTGTTACTCGGAGGTTTTTGGAGTCGCTGATTATGAATCTGAATTCCATTTTCAGAAATTCAAAATGGCGGATCCAATATGGCCGACGATTTTCTAAAAATTTCACAATTTCGCTTGAAATGTATTACTCGGGGGTTTTTGAAGTCGCTCATTACGAATCTGAATTCCGTTTTGAGAAATTTAAAATGGCGGATCCAATATGGCCGACGATTTTCTAAAAATTGCACAATTTTGCTTACCACAATTATAACACAAATATTGTTGTTTTTCACTATGTAAAATTACAAATATTTTTTAACTGATACTATGATAGATACAAACAATATTATTTCTTACATATATGACGAAAGAATTCATTATAGTTGGGTCTACAAAATGACAAATTAATCGTAATCACAGTCTTTTTATTTTCGATCTATTTCATAAGTTGCTAATTATCTGTTTTTCAAACTATCACAAATAGTCTTGAAAAATCAACATACGCATAATCGACATAATAACAAAAAAAAATAAAATAAAAATAAATATTTATGAAAAGGAACTTCCAGGAAACGGATTTCCGATTCGTAATCAGCGGCCCCAAAAAACCGCAAGTATAATATTTCACGAAAAATCCAAACATTTTTATAAAAATCGTCCGCCATATTTGATCCGCCATTCTGCATTTCTGAAAACGGACTTCAGATTCGTAATCAGCGACCCCAAAAACCCCTAAGTAACAAATTTCAAGCAAAATTGTGCAATTTTTAGAAAATCGTCGGCCATATTGGACCCGCCATTTTGAATTTCTGAAAACGGACTTCAGATTCGTAATCAGCAACCCAAAAAATCCTTATACCTCAAAGTAACATTTTATTATTTGAAATACATGAGCTAATAATGATTTTTTTTTTGTTATATGTGGTGTTTTTTTGCGTTCCTTTGTTTATAACAATGCCTTATTGCTAAAATTATATACATTAGGTCATTTCTTTTGTTTATCCAAGGTCTTGGTACCATGGATTAAAAAGATTTATCATTTTTTATAAAAAAATAACTCGTGTACATTCGAAAATGTACGAAACAATATGTGATCAATACTACTGACCACCGTGCTGCTAAGGGTTAAGTATGTATTAACTTTAAAGTTTGACTAACAATAAGCGTTAGTTAAAAAGCTATCTGTTCATGTGACAGCGTGCATGCTGCAGCAGCAATGTTTTGTTTGGTATCTAATACCAATGCACGGATAGATAACTTTTTAACCAACGCTTATGATTAGTCAAACTTTAAATGTTTATATGGTTTTTACTTAAAAATCTACTTTATAGGAAAAAATGGCATCTACTTTTATTACTTAATTTTTCATACCGCAGTAAGATTACCCTCATATTTTTGGACACTCTGTATATTGAATATATGCATATATATGTATATATATATATTTATATATACAAGGTATTCCATAAAGATCAGAACAACGTTCAAGGGGCGAGATTCCTAAGTTATTTTAAGACGAAAATTCAAATACTAAAATGTCAAAGCTATAATAGTTCTTTGAATTAAAGTTAGCGAATTATACTGCCTAAAATTTACGTATTCGAATATAGTACAATATGCAAAATGCTAAAAATAAAAGTTAATTATTGCCTCTTATAAATATCGATATAAAGATTATGCGAAAATACAATTACTGATATCTTTAATTATTGATATTGATTGATATTTATGTTAAAAACAAATTTCTCGTCAGTTTGGTGTTAGAAGTTTCGTTTCTCTCAGGAATCTCTTAAACGTTGTTTCGGTCTTTAACAGAGAGTGACATTTCATAAGCTTGTTTATTTAAATTTCAATGAAACTTCAAGATAGTCATGTTTCTTTCTCTATTTTTTATTTAATTCTTCGCAGCGACAAGAATATCTGTGAATGTCAATATGATGTTATTTTTATTAAACTCGCCAAATGTATTGTCATTTTCTGTATTAACATACTCATATCAATCAATTCTCTTACATAGTATCTATGTAGTTTAGTATTTAATTAATTTTGTTATTAAACTTCTTTATTGTATTTATTTTCCAGAGGAATTAATAGTAGTTATCCATTCCAAAAGTACCAATAATGATTCAATGCGTGCATGCTGCTAATTTCAGTGCAACATGCTGTCCCTGAATTAATATTAATGTATGCACATGCTATGAACAACTTGTTTACATTGCGAGAGTTAAGATTATTAAATCAGATTAGATAATGAAGTAGGTGAGCTTTATCTTAGAAGCATTAGAATGGTTGTGCCTAATGAATATCACACTATGCAATGTTAGGTGCTCTTAAAGCAGCAGTATATTTCGAGCCATACCAGCTTTTTTTACAACAGTATCAGGTTCAGGTTCTGAGAATTCTTTTCTCATAGTCCACATGTACTCATTATAATCCTGCTTAATGCTAGTACTGGATGATGCGACGACTTTGTAACCGAGTACCTCTAAAGCAGTCAATATTATGCAAGGATGTTGCAAATATACTATCGTCGAGTCGTCGCAATATCCTATAGAGGAGAACCGACTCAACTGCTCTATGTCAGCCGCTATAACATAATTGAATATTACTTGCACCTAAAAAATTGTTGATTTATTACACCTGCAATATTTCTAGCTACATTGTCCCCTCTAATCTTGAAAGCTGTGTCAATTTACTCGAAGTACCTATATGTTATTTCACTATCTTGTAATGCTATTTTTATTATACATGTGTAGAAAGATTACAAAAGAAACATTAGATAGAATTTTCAAAATGACTTACAAATCATGGCGCATTTTATCTAGTTGAAAAGTTTAAAAAAGCAAAAAGTATAAGCATACATATTTGCGTAAGAGCAAATATACAGGAGTCTTCGTACCTTTAAGACCTGACACTAAAACCCTCCAGGGATATTTATGACTGTACGACGCTAAGTTGCCACGTACTAGAATGTATGGCATCTGTAATAGTCAGCTAAAACAATCTGTAATAGATGATATCCTTTGGATATAACACTATTTATCTCTAAATATGTAGCACATATTTAGAGATAAATAGTGTTAAACCTCTTTACAGCTAATCTGATATTATGATATGAGAATTATTCCTGTGTGTTAATTGGTGTACTTGGTACTTTGGAACACACCTACCAAAATTTTATCTTATCAATGTAACTAATAAATTGAATGTTGTAAATATTAGACAGGGTCCAGAGAGCTTAGATAGATTGTCACATCATTCAAACAACTATATAGTTATTGCAAAATCATGTTATATATCTTATTGCAAAATCAGACCAATCATACTTATCAATCAATGTTACACAAAACTAAAATGTTTAAAACAATTTAAAAAATAATAAACTGAATATACTAAAGGCTATACTCACATCAGATAGATTTTGATCAATAAGAATGAAAAATATCCAGATATTTCTAGAATATAATTGACTAATACTATATTTCAAAACATTGATGGAGTTCATAGACTATAGATTATAAGTCTGTTCTTTATTCATGTATTATTACCTGAATTAGTATACATGATATAAGTTGAAGCAAAAAAAATAAATATTTGTTTCACTTCAATTTATTGTACCATATATACCAGTTCAGGTAGTACAGGAATAAGGAACAAGGCCTATAACAGAATGTATGTACTATACTAAAACATACTAGAATGTATTATGACCATAATGCAGTTCGTTCAACTTCTATTTTATCAATGTTTACTAAAACTTATTACGAAAGTAAGAAGAGCTCTATGTAAAAGACTGACCTGTATAGTTAATTTGATTCTAATTTTATAATTGTTAAATGATTTTTTGAATTCATTAAAAATATGGAATTTGATCTCTAAATACATGGTAAAGTAAAAAAATTGAAATATATAAAATGGTACAATTTTGATATACAAATGGACTATCTTTCTATAATTTTGCATGATACACATATAATTGATTATAGAGATAATTATTTATTTGTGTATAGATTAGAAAAAATTTCGTACATTTTGACATTTTTAGTTTGTCACATATTTAAAAGGCATTTGATATATACAAAAATAGGATTAGGCTATGTTGCTCTCCTTATTTTTATATATAATTATATACTACATCTTTTTCGTATAAACAATTAAGTAAACAAGGAGAGATAAATCGAAAGGATTACGAATCAGTATTTCACAAGAAAAAAGTATTTAATAAATCTGAATGCTATTCTATCATAAGTGGCTCGAAAAAGTTTATTTTACTCGACACATGCGTCGTACAAATTTTCATAATTGATGTATATATCGACATATATTGATATATGACTCTTACCGATATGCGAAGAGCGATAAAAAGGGCGGAGAACTCCGAAGAGGCTTGTACAACTTTATATGCCTTTTCAGCGATAATTCGAAGTCTATCACGGCCTTGATATCGATTATCCTAATTTCCTGCTTTCTGTTTTCTATCTAAATATATGTACTATTTTACATGAAAATCAATTTTACGCGTTTGGATTTACAATAAATTGGAATGAACACGAAAGTGTACACTACGATAACTGACGCTGACTACGCAGTACAGCAGTACTCAGCTATACCACAGTATACTCCATTAAGTGTTGTTCATAAACACAAGGAACAACTAGACACGAAACATTACTTGAAATTACGAACGAAAAAGAAAAGCATTAAGGGTCGACAGGAGTAGAGACCCTATACCAGAGTCTGGACACGAGAGAGACAATTTCTGATTGGTCTGTTGTTAGTGGCAACTCCCGCTCTAATTCAAACGTCGATAACCTTATAAATTCATATAGGATAGAAATGT